TGCTGGGATGTGAGAGAGGCTGACAGGACCCATGCCCCAGTTGATGGGCTGAGACGAGTCTCAATAAACCACGTTATGTGGGATGTGGTGAGCAAAATAACCACAGCTTATCCATCCTGTCTGGAAAGAGAGATGCGCTACCCTTTGGGGTGTCGCCAAGCGCAGCTTCCTCCCACCTCAGCATCTACTGAATGTGACAGTAAGAAAACACACCAACAGGGGTCTTGGGAACCTGCTGTGTGTTCGCACGTGGGCAAAGGCCAGCCTGCCATAGGCCTCCAGTGCGGTGTGAATGAACTAACTTGTCCCCATCCCCTCACTGCCGGTTCCCTGGGAGGTACAGGTGTCACCAGCTGGCTCCCAGATACTCAAAAGTCTGTGATCAACACCTTTTCCCCCTGTCGGCAGGCCAACGTAGGAAAGGAAGCTGTAATGAGCTTGCGTGGTGAGTATGGAGTCAGAACAGGAGGATGTGGATAAACTGCTTAAGATGCTGACCCATGTATTCTGGGCGGGGGCGGGGTGGGGCGCTGGGCCGCTGTCCGCCTTGTCAGAGACTCCTGCTGGGCTTCCCGGGATACTGGCTGCCCAGCACCCACGGCTCCCTCCCCTCATCTCTATTCAAGTTAGATATGTGACGAAGTCGCTCGCCCGCCACTTCCCTGCGATGTCTCAGTGGCCTGCCTCATCCCGTCCCTCTTTAAACAAACCCAACAGTCTGTCATGTCTTCTCAGGATAGGAGGAAGACGATTTTGCAGCCTTGGAAACCCAGTGGGGCAGTTCTGCTCTGCCTTGTAGGGTCACTGGGAGACTCGGGGTTGACTCCGTTGGAGTAGGTGGGGTGAGATAGGACAAACGGGCTTGGGAGACAAATTTGTCTCTTCCATTTGGTTGTTCTTTCATCTCTCGAAGGCTGGTCAGAAGACTCAACTCCAGCTGCCGGGTTGTTGTTTTTTTTCATGCTGTTGCCTGGCAACAGCCAGTAGTAAGGACCGGAGTCCTAAGGGCTCAGCCCTTGTGACAGTGGTGAGCCCTGAAGCAAGGGAGAGGGGGCTGCCCAACAGGCTGGAGGGTGGGGGCATGGGCAGTGTAGGAAAGGGGGTGGCCTTTCCTTCTCACCCAGCTCTCCTGTATTCCTCGCCTCGTCCCCACTGGGTTAGCCCAGCCGGGCTGCTCCGCCCAGAGTGCTCCTTGTCAAAGCACCTCTCCCGAGCGCGTGTTCGGGCCCTTGTGCCTTAGTCCCTTGCCCCCATCCCCCACCCCCTCCCAAGTGACTGGCCCCCCAGTTGTCCTGGATCCCCAGCTGTCGTCTGGGCACATTCAGACGCTGTGACAGAGGTGGTAGAAGCCACCGACTGGCCTCTTGGTGCAGCGACCTTCACCTTCACCAAGGCCTTGGGGCAAGGTCTCCCTCCATGAGCCATGCCAGCAGAGAAGCAGGGGCAAGAAGAACCCGCATGCCACCTCCCTACCCCTGAGAGGCAAAGAAAGCAGCCTTGCTCCTGACTTTGACACCCCTCTTGGCTTCCAGCCCCCCCTTAAAGCTGGCAGTGGGGTGAGCAGAGGCTTTGTCTAGGCACATGCCAAAGGGGCTGAAGGAAGCCCCTTGGAATCACTTTCTTGTCTGATGGGTGGGGGGCAGGGGCCTTGAGGTCATCAGATATTTAGGTCAGACTCTGCCCCTGGGCCCAGGCATGATTCAGGCCTCGGATGCACATTCTCTGATTGGATCCTTGGTTGAAGGTCCACCGAGTCTCCCCGATGCGGTCCCCCCGCCCCCCCCAACAACATTTTTGGTGAGGTTGTGTTCATCACTTTTGTGGTTTTCAAACACAGCCCGTGGTTTTCCCCTACTAGATTTTCCTCCGTGTCAGGTGTTCTTTGTGCCACTGGTTGTCGCATGGACCGTTCAGACCAGGTGGCAATCCCAGTAGACGGGAAAGAGAGCTGTGTTTCCTACAAAACACTGCTGCCACTCCTCCCGAGCCCCACAGTGCTGCTCCACTGAGACCCAGCAAACCCACTGCATAGAGGACAGCCCTGTAGGGTCTGCATCCTCACGCGACCAGGCAGCCTCATCTTTCTCCCTGACGGGGTGCGGGTTTTGAACCAGGGCCTTGCCATTGAAGTACCAATGTCCAGGCCAAAGCAGGTGAAGGGACCAGACTGCTCTTTAGGCACTCAGTTCTGACAGGGCTGCGGGGACGGGTGGTGGTGTGCCAGTGGGAGGCTTCTTACACGCCCCGCCGACTGTGTGCGCACTCATGCCACTTCCCCAGCGTCTTCTTTCCGTAGGGTGCCTGTCAATGCCCCCTGCCCCCCGACAGCGCTCGCAGACTTGCATTAGGTCCCACTGTTTTGAGCACCCTCATTTTCTGAGCATACGTGCCTGGTGGGTGTGTGTGTGAGGGGGGGAACCATTAGACACACTGCGTTCCTCTGCCAAGCCCCTGCCTTCACCACGCCCCTGGATCTCTCCTGCCCACCCTCTTCCCGGAAAACAATACTGTCGCTGTTGGGGCTCCCCACCAACAGTTTCTACCTTCATCCCAGTCTATGCCCCTGCTTTAAAGCAGCGGTTCTCAACCTGGGGGTCCAACGTTCCTGTCACAGGGCTCGCCTGATTCATAGCTAGCAAAATGACTGATAAAGTAGCAACGAAAATAGTTTTATGGTTGGGGTCCCCACCGCATGAGGAACTGTGTGAAAGGGTTGCGGCATTGGGAAGGTTGAGAACCGCTGCTTCAAAGTCGCTGGTGACCATTAGGCTTGTATTTCAATACAGATTAGTTTCTTCTTTCAACGTGACTGCCATTTTCTTTCTCTTAGTAATGGACCCCTCCCGCCCCCCCCATTCCCCCCCTCCCCTCCTATCGTTGATCCTTACTTAGGGAGTGTTGAATGTAAGTAGCTCCCCCTGGAGGGATGGCACGTCCAGCTTGCGGTGGATGTACAGTGTCCACACAGGTCATCCTGCACGGAAGCAGGATCTTTCCATCCGGATCTCTGTTGACCCCTCTGGTTCTTCTTGTCACCCTGTGTCCATCTGTCTGGCGAGGACGCCACAGAGCAGTACTCACTCACAGCCAGCCGAGTGCCGTTGTTCACGTCTGCCCACAGCTGAGTGTAGCCTGCGATCTGTCCGTCCCGCCTGTCAGATTCCAGGATGTTCTGGCCCCGCACACAGTGAGGCCACTGCCACTTCCCACTGTGTGGTTGTGTGGCCTTGGCCTCTTCGCCACGCGGCTGGAGGCCTGACCCCCGAGAGGGTATGAGCCCTCAGCCACGGGGGGTTCTGACACTCTCATTTCTTCTGTTCATCACCCCCCCACTCCCGTCTGTCTGTCTGTCTCTACAATTCCTGCAGGTCCCTGCGTTTTGGCTCTGTTCCTGAAGCCTTGTAGTGGATGCAGTTTGGTGTGACGTTCCAGAAAGGATTCTGTGGCCAAACAGGTGATTTCAGTACCCAAGGACGCCCTGTGGCCCGTGAGCGGGAGGGCGCTGGCTGGCATCTGGGTGCTGCCCTTGGCATGGCCTTTGCCACCTGTACTGCGGCGCCTCCTGCCAGACGGCACGGCATCCTCGGGAGTCCTCTGAGAGGTCCAGCCTCCTCCGGGGTCACCGTCCTCCAGAGGGCAGGTTACAGGGCAAGAAGCACTCCGTCTCTTCAGGCCCCAGGTTCAGGGTCACAGGTGCTGAGGGGCGTTTGCTCGAGAGAAGAGGGTGGACGAAAGGAGGAGCCAGGCCTGCATTTTCTGCATTTAGGTCTAGGTGGCGAAGCCTGGTTTGGGACTTGCTGAATGATGGAAATGCCTGTTTTCTCTTCAGACCTTCAAAATTAATTTTAAACCAATGAGCCTCAGGGCATGGTACCACAGTTAAGATGTAGGTGCCCACTGAAAAGTCCGCGGTAGAAAGGCCAGGCAATCCACGTTCATAAAACTCAAAGCCTGGGGGTGCCCTGACCTGTCCCCGGGGAGTCAGAACTGGCTCAACATCACCCCAGAGCAGTAGCTCGAAACGTGCTGGTATGGTTTTGATCTTTACGGAAGTACAGCCGGAAGCACAAAGCTGTCAGGTGGGCTCACACACCCACCAGAGCCTGGATTTCTTTCGCAGACACCCTCACCCCCACCCCGATGCCCTGCATGGCTGGGTGTATTATATAGCAGCAACAACAACAAAAGTCAGAGGACAAAAGAAAGGGCGGGCTGGTTTGAGAAGCTGCGCTGTGCCCGAGTCGCAGGAAGAGGCAGCTCAGTGCAGGGCTGCCCTGGAGCATCCAGTCCTCACAGGACGCATGGCTGATAGAGGCGTGACCTGGGCAGCACCAGGCAGAGAGGACACTGTCCCCACTGTGAATGCGGCTTAGCTGCCCGTGCACTGACTCTGCCTGGCTTCTTCACCAGCCAGTGTGTCTCTCGACCGTAGTACCCATCACTGTATTTGAAACCAATGAGCAGGGGCGGTTTTAAAACGGAGACCGGTCCTGCTGCAAGTTCCCAACCCAGGGCTTCTGAGTAATGTTCACAGCGGTGGAATAAGGGAGAGGAGGCCAGTCTGAGAACAGTTGGGTTGGCGGCACTGTCCGTGGTCACGTTAGAAAGGTCAGAAAGCAACCTCTGGGAAGCCTAGGAATTTGGTTGGAAATAAACAGGTCAGAGAGAGAGAGAGCATCCAGGAGATGGGGGAAGTGGGTATGGAGGGAGAGCAGCTTCGTGAAGCAGGAGGCTGGTGCTTTCCAGAGAGGCAAGATCTCTGGCCAAGCCGACAGAGGCGTGAAAATTGGCGTCGGGAAGCCCAGTGGTGTCTGTGCTGGGGAGGCAGGCAGTGTGCACTTGCACGCGCCAGTGGGGAGGGGTGGGGTGGTCGGTGGTTGGGGGAGGCTTCGGCCGTGCCTGCCCCTCACACCCTGCTCACCTGCTGCCCAGGCCACATGTGTGTCTCCTTGCGATCTGCAGGTCCCCGGGTTCTGACGATCCTGTTGGCTTAAGTGCTGTTGCTGCAGCGAGACTTTGACTTAGAGCCATGCTGCCTCCAAAATTCTTGTCCACCACCAACCCTCAGAAGTCCCGGGCCCTGGGCCTGTGGGCACTAGACGGCGACGCAGGAGACGGCACCTCTGGCTCTGAGTTATCTCGTCAGAGGTTTCGGAATCTCCTCTACGTGGAGTTTGTCGGGCCTCGGAAGACCCTGAGCCAGCTCCGAAACCTCTGCCTCGATTGGTTGCAGCCGGAGACGCGCTCCCACGAGGAGATCGTGGAGCTGCTGGTCCTGGAGCAGTTCCTGACCATCATCCCCGAGCGAGTGAAGCCTTGGGTGCTGGCCCAGAAGCCCGAGAACTGTGATAGGCTGGTGACCCTGCTGGAGAACTACGAGGAAGAGGAGGACGAGATGCACCAGCCGGAAGGTGAGGCCGCCAGCAGGTGCGCAGCCTGGTCCTGGGGTTGGCGTCAGTCAGTGGTGGGTGTTCAACTGAGAGGTGACCCGCTTGGGCAACCCCGGCTCCCATGCAGGTGGGGTGGGCATGGGTGTGGGCATGGACCAGCGGCCTGTGTTAGGAGGTGGTGGCAAGGCAGTGACTCGTCCCTGGTGTCCCCTTAGACGACGCAGCCCACAGTGACGACGACTTGAGCCGAGTTGGCGCTGAGTCCCCACCGCCCCGCTCAGTGCACTCGTTTGGCCGTAAGTACTTACCACGACGGCTGGGGTCCCCCTGCCATCAGCCTGTGTAGGCGGCCTCAGGGCTGAGGTTCCCAGAGGACAGTTCTCCAGAGCTTGAGGGCACAGGGGGGAGGGGTTTTGATATCTAGAGACTTGGGTCTGGTTCCTTTGCAGGGTGAGATTGGGTGGGGCTTGCCACACAGTAGGTAGAGGGTCGCAAGAAACCACTCTCCATGGGGACAGTGGGAGAGCCTGAGCTTGTGGATCTGACCCCCATGGGGGTCGGGAGCTGGATGCTTTCTCTCGGGGGAGGGGCACCATGCCTGTAAAGCGCCCGCCCTCCACTGAAGGCTGTTCTGATGCTTCCCACGTAGGTGATCGAAGGGGCAGGATCAGAGACATGGGATCCAGAGACCAGTGGCCGTATGCTCAGACTTACCGGAACAGTAAGTGGCCTGCCCTGGGTGAGGGAGCGCGGACAGCACTGAGTGTCTCCCAGAGGCTGGTCCACATCTCCTGCAACTTTGGCTCCTCCCAGCCAACCAGTGCCACCTGACAGGGCCTGCCTTGAACCCCACGCTCACACCCGAGTCCACCTGACAGGGCCTGCCTTGAACCCCACGCTCACACCCGAGGGACCCTCCGGGGCTCAGGCTGCGTGGTCAGGGGTGTGGGGGGATTTCCCTGTGCCCCTTGGCATCAGACACAGAGGACCAGAGGGGAATCTGTTCCCCTGCTCCCCATTGATCTTATAACAAAGCGGTCATTAAAATTAGGCAAAATTGGCCCAAGATTACTGTTAGGGGAGAAATGAAGGTAAATTACAGGATAGCATGTTTATAAAATAGGTAGTTTTTTGTTTTTGATTTTAAACATGAATATACATCAACCTCACTGGGAGAAGAAATTTTGAGCCATGAACCATCACAGCCTCTGCCCGCACCCACAGGAGGACCCCAAGGGTGGCCGGCCGGCCGGGGCGGGTCTGGGCCCTGCAGAGTGGCTGGGCCACACTGCTGCAGCCCCATGTTCCTTCCTAGGGTCACCGCCACGTGACCTCCCCCTCCCCTTGATGGAGAGGGATGATGATAGTGACCAAGACTCCATGATGGACTTTGGTTCCACCTCACAGGTACGTGCGCCAGGCGTCCACCTTCCCCAAGAGGCCATAGGGTGGGCAATTGGAGACCACTAGTGGCGCCTGCTCTCTGCCTCTGCTGTGTTGTGTCACGTGCTCTGGTCACTCGGGAGTCTTTTCCCACCCACCAGATGGGCATCCTTTGGGTCTTCCTCTGTGTCACGCCGAGGTGGGACCCCCAGGAGGACGGGATGGGTCCCTTCAGCACGCTGGCACGGCTGGCCTCTTTTCATGCCCCTCGGTGTGTCTCGCTCCCGTTGCCAGCACGGAGACGGGGCCTCGCTGAGCTGTCTGCTTGCCCTTGCAGGAGGTGGAGTCCTACCAGGACATGGTGGACTTTGCCGAGGAGAGAAAGCCCCCAAACACGATCCAGGACAACATGGAGAACTACAGGAAGCTGCTTTCTCTGGGTGAGGGGCCTCGTCCTGCAGTCTTGCCCAGCCCCTCCCTGGGTGCACTTCCCTGGGTGCCTTGTTCTTGTGGAGCTCGCTGCAGGATGCTCTGCTAGGGACCAGGAATCGAGGGTGGCTCGAGGGGACCCCACGAGGGTTTCCGGGGCTGAGCTCTATAGGAGCTGGTGGGAGGGCTCCAATGGCTGACCTTTCAATTGGCTGGCGGCTGAGCACTGTCAGACACCATTGTGACCCGCAGGCGCCTGCAGCACGCTGCAGCCAGCAAACCAAACCTGCCAGCGAGTCACTTCAGACACATAGCAGCGCTTAGGACAGGGTAGACCTGCCCAGGTGGTAAATCTTCCCAGGAGCCTCTTTGTTCTGTGGGTGTGGACTACTTAACCCCCAGTGCTACCAGGGCACTTTCAGACTGCCATAGCCTATGCTCATCTCCTTGGGGTTTTAAGAATCCTAAGTCTTTTAGAGGGTGGCCCTGGGCCCTCCCCCCCAACCCCACTCCCTCTAAAGTGAGCCACCCTCCCTCCTCGTGCACAGGAGTTCAGCTGGCTGAAGACGATGGACACTCTCACATGACGCAGGGCCACTCATCGAGGTCCAGGAGAAGCGCCTACCCAAGCACCAGTCGAGGTAAGGGTCCCGCAGGGTGGGCCCCGGGGCGAGGCCGCGCGCTGCAGCAACACCCCCACAGGCATGCGCCGGCACTCACCCCCCAGCTCTCCTTTCAGGGCTGAAAATCATGCCGGAAACCAGAAAGCCGAGCTACTGGCGCGGAATATGTGAGGACGAGTCCTCCCACGGGGTGATCATGGAGAAGTTCATCAAAGATGTCTCCCGCAACACCAGGGCGGGAAGAATGAGGGACCACATGGACCGGCCCCAGCGCTTCCCCGGGGTGCTCGGTGATGACTGGATGGAGGGCCCCTTCAGCAGGAGGGAATCGGTAATTCTGGAGCGGGGCCGTGAGGGGAGCGTGCTCGGGGGAGGCCTCAGCCTGAACTCCCACCTCCCGCCCAGAACGCAAGTTCTGGAAAGAAAAAGGCGCTATCAGGTGGACGTGGACGGGAAGGGCGCGGCCCCTGATCAGAGAGGTGGCAGGGCAAAGAAACCCTTTGCACGTAGCCAGGCGAGGGAAGCCACGTGCGTGAGCAGCCTCATCTCGACCTCCCCGGTCGAGTGGCCGCCCTCCGGCTGGGAGGCCCTGCCCTACACGTGCGATGCATGCGGGTGGTCCTACAGTGTGATTTCCGAGTTTATTGAGCACCAGATCAAGCATACGAGGGAGAGTCTCCATGACTACGGCGAATCCTTCATCCATAGCGTGGCCCTTAGCGAGGCCAGGAAAAAGCTGGCCAAGGCGCAGCGCTCCGAGCGTAGCGCCTCCGGGGATGCGCTTGGGGAGTGCCAGGAAGCCCCGGGGAGAGAGGACCTCACGGAGTGTCAGGAGCAGGAGGATGAGGACGCCATCCTGCCCAGCCCGACCCTTAATGAGCTCCAGAGAATGTACGGCAAGGAGAAATTCTATCAATGTAGCCTGTGTCAGGAGACCTTCCTCCATAGCTCAGCCCTAGCTGGCCACCAGAAAACCCACCGTAGCGGGGACTCAGACTCTGACTGTGACCATGAGTGCGGAGGCAAGGCCCCCGAGCCCAGCCCGGCCCCTACTGAGCCCCGTACAGCGTGCGGGAAGGAGAGCGCCGGGGAAAGGAAGGCGCGTGCGGAGACCCTTCCGCGTAGCCCCGCCCCGAAAGAGCACCCGGAGGCCCACGCTAGAAGCCTCTCTGAAAACCAGGGTACAGTGTGGGAGGAGACCTTTATTCCTGGCCAGGCCCTTAGAAGGCAGCAGGAAGCTCCTGCTACCGAGAAGCTCCGTGAATCGAAAGATGGCAGGGATGCCTTTGTCCAAAGCTCAGACCTCAGCGAGCACCCGACACGCCACTCTCAAAAGAACCTCCGTGAAGGCAGGGGGTACCAGAAGTCAGTCATTTGTAGCGTGCCCTGCCCCGGGTCCCAGAAAAGTCACACCATAACAAGACCGCCGGGCCTTGAGCCGGAGCAGGAGGAGAGAGCGTGTACCGTTAGCGCCAACCCCGAGGAGCAGCAGAGACCCCCGGCTCACGAGCGTGTCTGTGAGGGGAGGCGGTGCGAGCGGTCCGTTATTCACCGATTGGTCTTTGCTGACCCCCAGAAAAGCCACAGCGCCGTGGAGCTCCGAAAGCCGAGGTCGCGGGCCGAGTGCACCATCGTGCAGAGCACCGACGCCATGGAATGCGAGAGAGCTGGGGCCGCGGAGAGCGCTGCCTACGGAGGGAACGTGTGCGCCGTCATCCGGAGCACGGCCACGGCCACGGCCACGGCCACAGCCTCGGCCTCGGCCTCGGCCCCGGCCAGGCCCCCACGACACCGACATCGCACGGGGGCTGAACCGCTCGCCAAGGGCCAGGAGCGGCGCGAGCCCTCCGCCTGCATCTCAGCTTTCAGCCTGCTGCCGAAGATGGACCTCAGAGAGAATCCTTTTGAGGTCCTGGAGAACCCCTTCGATGAGGCCGACTACCTGAAGTACACGGTCATCCACAGCGCGCCCCGCAGCGATGGCGGTGCGACCAAGGAGGCGGGGCCCGGCGAGTCCAGGGAGGAGGGCGAGCCCCCCGCCCCCAGCGCCCAGGTCCCGGAGCAGCATCAGAAGGCCCGCTCGAAGAAGAAGTACATCGAGCCCACCGACCACGACGCCCCCGCGACCCACTCCCCGTTCGGCATTCCGCAGAGCAGCCAGTGGCGCGCCAGGCCGTACACGTGCCAGCAGTGCGGGGAGTCCTTTGCCCGCAGCGCCGACCTCCGGGAGCACCTGAAGGTCCACGACCAGGAAGGGCCCTCGGGCAGCCAGACCTACGAGAGGTCCGTCATCCGCAGCCTGGCGTTCGTCGACCCCGAGGCCTTCTCGGCCGAACAGCGCCGGCGCCACCAGTGCAGAGAGTGTGGGAAGTGCTTCATCACCCGCGAGACCCTCAACTGCCACCAGAAAGTCTACTGCCGGGAGCGGCAGCACGGGGCCTCGGCCTTCCAGCGCTCCGTCATCCAGGGCCTGGGCTTCAGCCGGCGCCAGGGCCAGAGCGTGGCCGAGTGCACCATCTATGAGTGCAAGAACTGTGGCACTGGCTTCACCGACCTGGACGACCTCCGCGACCACGAGGAAGTCCACGAGCAGGCGTGCCTCCTGGAGAACCGCCTGTGCGGGCCCTCGGGCGTGCAGACCCCCTGCTCCTTCGGCGATGCTCAGCGCAGCAGCGATGGCGACCAGCTCTTCGAGTGCCCGCAGTGCGGCGAGTCGTTCATCAGCAACAGCTTCCTCTGCGAGCACCAGAAGCTGCACGAGAGAGAGCCCTTCTACGCCTGCAGGCAGTACAGCGAGGGCTCCCTGCGGCGCTTCCGCATGCACACACAGAAGAGGCGGCGGTCCGCCAAGAGCCGGCCCTCGGGGTCCAGGAACCTCCGCTGCCAGGTGTGCGGGCAGGACTTCATCCACATCTCCGTCCTGGAGGAGCACATGCGGATCCACACTGGCGAGGACCAGCCGGAGCAGGCCAAGAGCGGCGAGGACACCGTCGTCCAGGGCCTGGCCCTCACCGAGTTCCAGAGGGACCAAACCGAAGAGAGGCCCCACGAGTGCAAGACCTGCGGCGAGACCTTCCTCAGCCAGTCCGACCTGAGGGATCACATGAGGGTGCACGAGAAGGGGGAGCCCTTCGACTACGGAGCCACATTCCTCCATACCTCCTTTTTCGACCTCCCCCCCGGAGACGGGCCCTTCTACGAATGCAAGGAGTGCGGCAAATCCTTCATTCACAACACCATCCTGGTCAAACACCAGCAGCTCCATGTGGAGGAGGCAGAAGCGGCCCAGGAGGTGGAGGCCAATTTCGTCGTCCCCCAAGAAGTACTGCGGATTCAGGGGTCCAACGTGGAGGCCGCCGAGCCCGACTTGGAGGCCGCCGAGCCCAGTGGGGAAGCCGAGCAGCCCACTGGGGAGGCCGCCGAGCCCAGCGGCGAGGCCGAGCAGCCCGGCGGGGAGGCCGAGCAGCCCAGCGGGGAGGCCGCTGCTGCCGCTGCCGAGGAGCCCCATGGTGCTGGCATCGAAGACCCAGGAGAAAGAGCCGAGGAGGAGCCCGAGGGTGAAGCCGAGGAGCCCGAGGGTGCAGGAATCGAAGACCCCGAGGAGGAGGAGGAGGAAGAGGAGGAGGACGACAACGATGATGACGAAGATCAGGAGATCCAGGTGGAAGAACCGTACTACGACTGCCAGGAATGCGCCGAAACCTTCCCTTCAAACTCGGCCTACCGGGAGCACCTGAAGACACATGCCCGGATGATCCTGCACGAGCCGGGAAGGGGCTACGGAGAGAGCTCGCGCTACACTGGGCAGGCCAGCACCAGCGCCGGCGCCAACGACTGGGACGACGAGAAATACTTCAGATGTGATGTCTGCGGGCAGTTCTTCACCGACCGCCTGTCTCTTGCCAGGCACCAGAACTCCCACACTGGCTGAGCACATCCGAGTGTGAAAGTTGGAAAACCTTACGGTAGGACTTGACCTTTCTGACACAGTGGAGAATTCAAACCAACCCTGGACAATCCCAGTTAGCGAGCTGGCTTTGATGTGTGCTTGCCTTCGCAGACATCAGTAACCCCCTCGTGAAAATGAAGCTCGTGGAGACCCCTCCCCAACAGACCTCACTGTGTGCTTCTGGGACAGCGGTCCCGCACATCCGACCTCTCCCCTCCGTCAACAGATTTTGAGGAGGGGCACCCTCCTGTCTATCCAAGTCTCTAGAAAGTGCCCCCAGCAGCTGTCAGTGACCCCCCTGTGACCGCGATCCCTCTCTGGACAGCCAATCAGCACAACAATCATTTCATGCATTTGGATCAAATGCCACACACCTCACAGCTTGGGGGATGGAGTCACCTGACCCCAGGCATCCTGGACTCGGGACCGGGGGCCAGGGTCAAGAACAGCAACAAATGAGAATGTGTTTGTAAGCTGCTCAGATCCCGAGAAGATGGCTTGTGGAGCATCTGACCCCTTCAGTAGATGCCTGGTTCTTGCCGTCCCTCCTCAGGTGGAGGCCTGAACAGGACACTGGGGAGGGGCGCGGTCACCCTTGGCTGTTCGGTGAAAAGAAGCACTTGGTAGCTCCCTCTGGCCACCACTTACCCCCGCTATCCTGACCCCGGTGCTCCAGCAGCGGACACTGCATGAGCCTTGACCACCCACAGATTGGCCTTTCGACCACCAAAACCTGGTACCTCATGGTAGCACTCATACAAAAAAAATTCTCAAACAAACAAAAACAAAAAGCACTCACTACGAGTGCAGTCCCCTAAGTCACAAACTCAGAAGCTCCCCATCCCGCCCCCTCCCCAAATCTGTACATCTTTGCCTTTAAGTAGTGGGTTGTCGCCCTTGCTAGCACACAGCAGCCATGGCTAGTGAAGGCGAGAATCCCGGAGCGGAAGCTCCCTGATGTAAATAGGGTTGCCGATGAGCGACTCCTCACCTCCCCTGTGCGCTTCTTGCCTTAAGTGAAAAGTGACAAGGTGGCTCCGGTCACCTGCGCATTGTGAGCCTGTGTGTGCCGCCACCCTGGGTCCCCAGGGCCTAGCACCCTTAGAGCTTTCTATCGCAAACTTAACTCTCTTTCCTCCTCTTTCGCCAGACCCCCTGTCTTTCTTAATTAAAAAACAAAATAAAACAAAAAAACCCACAAAAAACACAAAAATCCCACACAAAAAAAGCTTTCTTTATATTCAGCCCAAGCTTAACATGGACTCAGGTTCCCCAGCAGCCTTAATTTGTTGTGTTGGCTATCTGTCCCTTCCCCTCGGGGCCCTCCCTGCGTATTTCTCAGCTGGCCACTAGGGCGTTGTGTTTGTTTAGCCGTCTCTGTGTCCCACTTTGCCCCCCATCTGCCTTGTGGTACGCGGCTCGCTCGAGATGTCCCGCGTGTTGTCTGTGGACTACCCGCCCTCCTTTGTGTCGCCCCCTCTCCTCAACCACATCATGGCCAGACGAAGAAATTCCTAGGCCTTGAGTTGGCTGAGAGGGATTGGGGGGATAAAAAAAATTAAAATTTTTAAAAGTTCAAAAAAAACCACAAAACAAAAATTAAAAAAACAACCAGCCTTGTTAAGATCTGTAGGAGAAGTGAGCAAAAAAGTGGAGCCGATTATTTGGACGGAAGTGAAGAGCACCCTCTTCCTGGGCGTGAAGACGAGGGCCCGTGGGGGCGGGGAGGCTTGACACTGCAGGGAGTGCCAAGGCCCAGGGGAGGGTGTGGAGGGTGGGGTGGGGGGAGATGCCAGCGAGAAACAGAGGAGTTAGGAGTAAGCCAAAGAAGGGGTCCTGCTCGGTCACTGAGACCTTGGAGGGAGGGCAGCAGGTGCTGGCAAGGGTGGGTTGGTGAGGAGGAGCAGAGCAGGCCACCTTGGAAACAGCAGGAGGCCTTTTTGATAACCTCGTGTCCCTGAGGGCCAGCTGCACAGAAGATCCCTGGGTTGGAATGATCAGAGCATTGGCAATTGAGGTGCGCTAGCGCTAGACCTGGGGAGGACCCTTCCCATGTGGGTCCACACTGATGCCTTCCTGGTTGAGCTGCGTGGGCTGATTACTGCCGGCAACGCTTATGGGTCAGACCATTCCAGAAAGCAACTTGGCAAATGTCAAGGGGGCCCACCCGTTTGCCGGCGGCCTTAGATTCGTAGAGATGAACAACCCCCTTGCCAAACCATAAGGGGAGCGAGTGCCCGAGCGCAAGCTGGTGGGTTCTTGTGCAGCCGTGAGACGTGATAATCAAGGAGAGTTAGGTAGCAGCCTGGACTAGTAAGTGGAAGGAGCAGGACACGAAATTATATTTATACCACAATTCTAAGTGTTTAAAAAAAATGTATGCTTATAGTCAAAAGCTGTTGTGTTGTCGTAGGCTGATAGTTGAGCATTATTTTCTTAAAAGTCCCCCAGTGTTCTTTATCATGGTGTTCCTAAAACATTTGCAGTTAGTCACGAAAGTGTGTAATCTGTCACTTTCCATGGTGGACATAATTTGAATTCATTATCAAACATTTGGGAAATAACAAACGTGGAGAAGGAAAAACAAAAGAGAGAGAGAAATACCCAACAAGATCCATATTCCCCATCCACAGATAGATGATCTTCTCGTCTATCTTGGTTTTTCTCATTTCTGTACACAGGTTTATGATTAGAACCGTCAGATGTGTATTCAAAATCGTTACGTTACCTTTGGAATTATGATTTAATTCTTTTCATTTGTTCAAATGTTCCTTATTCCAGTGCTCAGATAACAAAGTTCATCATGTATGTTTCTATTTTAAGCTGATTCGATACCCAGAAGGAAAAAAAAATTGGAAAGTACAGTCAATTAGAAAAGAGAATTAAAAAAGAAAAGAGAATAAATGTGCCCATATTCCCAACACCCACCAACTGCTGTTAACATCTTGATAGAATCCCTCCATCTTGTTTCAGTACACAAGCTTGTGATTATAGCAGTGTGTTACATATGTGTGCTTGAAGTCTAAAATGACAAGACATGTGGAAAATAATCTTAAAATAGTGTGGTCGTTGTGGGATTATGGTTAAATATTTTGTCTCAAATTCTTTGAGTGGTCTTTGGTGTCTTGGTAATCAAGTTCATGGATGTATTTTTCCCTTACAACTGTAACGACACATACTCATAGAAATGTTGGAAAACCCAGTAAAGTAGAATTTTAAAAGAAAGTTAATCCTTATTCCCAAACCCAACAACTACTGCTAACACCTGGATCTAGTTCCTTCAGCATGGCCTGTGCACTGGTCTGGATTCTAACAGGGTGCATATGCGAATGGAGAGGCGTGTCAGAGATGGGAGAGAGCTGGAAACCATGGGCACGAAACAGTGTGTGGTCATGGGATGTGGGGTTCACTGTTTGGGCTCTGTTCCCTTGAATTGTAGTGTTTTGGCAACCCGGTGTCAGCGTGCAGTACACATGCATCATAGAAACGTGGAAGTCGCAGACATGCCGACCAGAAGTCCGCCCATGTTCTTCCGGTCCAGAGACCGGTGTTACATCCCAGGAGTTTCCTCATCTTGTTTCTGTGCACAGGTTTTGGGTTCTGTCGCTATGGTTGTGTAATCGTTCTATCTATCTGTCTGTAATAATGTCAACAATAAAATTAATAAAGTTAAAAATAAGATCTTTCTCAGTCTCTCCTTTGTTTGAGTGGGGTCATCCGTCATCAAACGTCGCCAACCCTTAGAGCCACCTCGGGCTGGACGTTCGGGTCCTTTTCAAAAAACCCCCAGAGGTCAACAATCCCTTCCAAGGGACCTTCGAATCCCTACTTGATCCATGTTTTAAATGGCCATTTAAAAAGTCAAAACCCTATGTCCCAGGCCCATCTTTAAACTTGATAAGGCTCACAAATGCACCCAGCAACTCAATTCCACATT